ATCATCCATAAACACGAGGATATTATCTTTCATCTTGGATGAAGGATGATGTGCGACGCACAAGGATAATTTCATCCTAAAATATTGCGTATTGTTACACCAGAAAATCGGGCGACGCGACTGTACATATACTATTTCCCATATTACCGTAACAATTTACAATCATTTCTTTGTATGTTGTATTTATTATATTTTTCCATTTCTTGCATTCTTGTGAACTTTGTTTATTATATATTCAATGTAAATTTTCTTTGTTTTATACTCGGTTATAAATTTAAATGCTATAAGTAATCTTTAGGAATCCCAAACACTTGTAATTAATCTTTTATCCAATAACTCTACTTTATTGCTATACCTCTCATGACGTTTTCGTAATAATAATCTTACGGTTAATAATAAATGACAAAGTTTATCCTCCAATGATTAATAATTCTTCTTACAGTCAAGGAAATCATCATTCGCCATTTCTTTCTCCATCTTTATCATAATTTATTTGCCAATATCGCCACCACTACAAAAATCATTAATGTCATCTTCATTTTCTTCCTCTTCATCCACTTCTTTATTTTCTATTTATTCTCCACCAAAGATTTTACATAAACCAACTGATACCAAAACAGTAATAACATCTCCTTTATCACAACAGCAACAACTACAACAATTACAAAAATTACAGCCACAATCACAACAATCATAACGACAGTCACAACCAACTTCACAGATTGAACAATCTCGTCAAATTACTCGATCATATTTTATCAGAAAAAAGGCGAGAGAATATTAAAAGTATTATACCAACTTGCTGATTCAAAATGTTGTGATAATACGTGTATATATGTAGGATGATAAATAAATAATATAAATATTTAAATGCTAAGAGAATATCTTGTAATATTTTAATACCTGGCCTGTGTCAATTTATTTATTTTTGTGACCTGAGACGTAATTGATCTTTGAATTCTAATGTCTAACAACATCCATTCAATTTGTAATTTTAAAGTAATTCTTAATAATTTTTAAATTCTAACCTTAAAGAATTAATAATATAAAATTTAATTTGTCGCTCCAACGGAGCCATGAACTTTATTATCAAAAGCTTTGTATAAATAAATGAAACAGGGAATTTTCAAAATACATTTATCTAAACTAAAAGCCTGAAACATTAAAAACTCACCGTTGCCTAGATTGTCATGCCTAGTAACTGAGTTACTGGAAGAAAATATAATGTACCTCGTAAGTGTCAACCCAGGAGGTGTACCCCATAACTGATACAAAATTCTTATTTTTATATAAGGAGTACTTCAGTATGTGATAAAAGATTATAAATTCCTCCCAAAAAAATGAAAACTTTCTAATTATAAAGAGAAAAACATGAAAATAGAACAATTAGGCATAGAATAAACTCTCAACTATATGTACAAAATTTAAAGTAGTTAATTAATAATTTTAAATTAATATATCTCTCAAATAGTTAATTCTAACTTCCTCAAACTTAAATTTTTAATTCTCAACATCATCATCATTAGTATTATTAACATTATTCGCATGATATAAATTGCTAAATTATTTAAATTTTCTGTAAAATATTTTATAATATGGGTGAGATTTAAATGTAAAAACGTCGTTATTATTATCACGGTTTTGTACTTTTACATATCACGCATGTGTCATAATTTCTTATCCCAATAAACCTGCTTCACGTTCTAAAGTGAGAATGACTTTGTAAATAAATTAATCATTCCGCTATTCTTATTATTGATGTCGTTATTATTGTAATTATTATTGTTATTATCATTTTCGTAATTTGGTTCAATCTAATACATTCATCAGCTTTATTGATTAATCTTTTTCTTCCCATGACCGTAATATTAGGAAGCGATGTCTATTGGTATTAGGCGTGACATCGGATGAAAATAAAAAATTTATATGGTGTATGGAAAAAAATAACTTATAAACATGAAGAAAATGATATAAAAGATGTAAGAAAAAAATGGCAAGGTGGCGTCTGTCTGTTCAAAGAACATATAAAATAAAGGAAAAGAAATGATAATCTCTCTCTTGAATAAATAAAAGGATATTGAAATAAAAATAATCTAAATAATTTTTTTTTTATAACGAAAGTGTTTGCATTATCATTTATTGAAATAAAAATAAATCACATGATATTGTTTATTAAACACGTCCATCGGGATAATAGTAACTTTGAGATTTTAGATACGTTTATAGTAATAGGTTTTAAAATAAGTGTGCTTACAATTCAAATTTCAAACGATCAGGTAATTTAAACGTTCAAATCGTAATTCGCCAATATTTATAATCACACATTGATTGATTATTAGCACATGTCAGCGGATGATATGATTATTTATTTATTTATTATTTATTTAATGTATTTACTATTACATTTTATCATTATGACAGTGAATTTTTTTATTATTAACCTTAAATATCAAATTTAATTGAGTAATTGACGAATTTATAAAAAATTTTGAAACAGCAAATACAAAATTATTGAATATCTAAGATAAGATGCGACCAAATTTGTATTTCAATTTTGGAGTAATTATAAATAGGGACAAATTTCATAATTAAAAAATAATTATAACCTCTAAAAAATAATAATCTCCAATAAAAACAAAATAATAATCTCTAATAAAAACAATAATGTTCGTTCATAAATTACAAATTTTTGGAGTTCTATTAATTTTATTATCCATAATCAACACTTCTACAACATTCGTTATTAAGAATACGAATGACTCTGCGAATGCTGTTACAGAACGTTCTCCTAGTTATCCTCTGCATCCTGTAGATAATATTTACCGTGGAGATCTTATTGCAATAGATTATATCTGCCTCCATTGGGTCGATGGTGACCATATATCACGCTGGACAGATTGCAAATATTCTAATGATTTTGATGGTAACGACGAAGTGCCGACGGGATACACATCTCCATGGTGGGCAGCAGGATACCACTTCGAAGCATATGATGAATTTTATGGTCAATATTACAAAACTGACGATGTAATGTGGTATAATGACTATCAAGACCAAAAATTTTGTAATGATCTTCATTTCCATATTAAGGGCTTTCATTTGAAATTGAGTTATTCTCAAACAACAATTAATGCTAACGACAAATGTTATTGGGAATAAAATCCGAAACTAGCCTTAAAATAACCAATTTAATTTATAATTAATATCATCTATTCAATATTAAATTTTATTTTATTTTAAAAAAATTTTTTTTTAAATTAATTTGTTATATTTAGTATGGTTAATTTTATTTTAAGATAATCGCCAGTCTACAACACTTTTTTCAGACTGACTTAAGTAATGCATCATATATATTAATATTTTACATAAACAACTTAATAAAATTATTTTTTAATTATAATTATAAATCAGAACATAATTCAGATCTGCAGGAATAACACGCACATTGCCATCTTGGAGACCACGCGAATTGAACTGATTGACGTTAATTGCTGATCCACCTAAGAACGGTACTATTTATGTAATAAAATTTAGGATAAGTTATTTGTCTAGTAAAACTATAATATATTTGCACTGTTGGGCACAAAAGTATTATAAAAATATATCAGATATGGGTTTAAAAAATTGATTTTTTCAGCGCATAAGAAAGTATCTTTTATTTTTTGAAAAATTTACCGGACTTTTTACAAAAAAAATGCCAAATAGCATACTTAACAGATACTAAATTTCATCTATGGATATATTGTAAAAATTTATACTTACCTATATACGCCATCCAGATTCCAACCCATAGTAAAATACATATAGACTTTCCATATTTTATATATACAGTAAATAGTGCCGTTAAGATGATAGTGTTCACCGCGCCACGCCACTCATTACAAATAAAATTGAGATAAGAAAAATACACGATACAAAAGATTTTCAGGCTCTTCACATTTCATTTTTGAATGCTGTAAAATTTGTTGAACTTGTTCAGCATTTAACGCTAATTAACCAGTTTCTTCCCTAATCTGAGTTCTCGCATTCGTAATTTAATATGAGAAATAGGAGAATGGATACGAAAATAACGGTCAATAGCATAAATCACTTGTTTAATGAGATAAAAATATTATAAAATAAATGAAGTGATTTTTGCATACTATAAAAACTCCTTTCAATTTTGAACGTAATTTTGTTTCTTCTTTTCAAAAAAAATTTATTCTTTCATACCACAAGTAAACAAAAAATAGTCACTTATTACATGCTCAGAATGCGATCAAAAATATTATGGATGGTGATGCAAATCATTTTACTCGAAACATTTACAAATGGTTGTAATATTAGACAAGTGGAAATGAAGAAATAGATAAATTCATTTAAGGTACTCAACTAAATGCTATTATTGTTAGGAAGCAATAGAATGGATACCTTATGGTAGATTTAAACGAATATGTAGAGTTGGATTTGGAACAATACATTACGCTAGGTAAAATGATGGCCGAATCGATAAACGGGATGCTGAAGTGGTATTAAAAAAGTTTGATGAATTTAAACGATGTGGTAATTTTATATTTAGTTTTAATATAATATTTAACTATAATTAAAATGCTTATATTATTAGATGGTGAACAATTTAAAAATAATTTTATGAAATTACAGAAACATAAAGATACTAGTACGTTTTCCCGGGAGAGGTGACTTTCATTTTATTTTAAAGTGATGCATTTTCTCAGGTTGTTAATATTTTTAAATTTATTAAATTCATTTTACTTTAAAGTAATATGTTTACCCATGCTTTTACTTTGGGAGATGACTTTCATTCATATTTTTAAATTTATTAAGTTCATTTTACTTTAAAGTAACCTTTTTCCTGGACTATTACTCTGAAAAGTGACTTCATTCATATTTTTAAATTCATTAAATTTATTTTACTTTAAAGTAGCATATTTCTCTGGGTCGTTGCTCCAGGAGGTGTATTTTTAAATTTATTTTATCTTAAAGTAGCATGTTTCTTTTGAAAGGTAACTCTCATTCATATTTTTAAATTAAAGTAGCCCATTTCCTTGTGCTATTACTTTTCATTCAGATTTATTAAATTCATTTTACTTTAAAGTAGCCTGTTTCCCTGGGCTATTTCTCCAGGAGGTGATTTTTATTTATATTTTATATTTTTAAAACTATTCAAATTTGTAAAAATATTATTTTTTTTTTGATTTTATATTTTTTTAAAATTTTTTTATTTATTTATTAATAAATTTAATAAAATAAAAATTTATTTATAAATTTATATTTATAATTTATACTTATAAATGTTTTTTTTAAAATAAAATTTAAATAAAATCGGCGATTTTCATTTCATAATTCCGGCCGAAGTTATAAATTTTTTTTTAATAAATTAAAGGTTATTTATAAATTTATATAATTTATAATCTCGATTTAATAATTTATATTAATTAATAAAATTTTAAATTTAAATCGGATTTTCGGCCGAAGTTATATTTTTTTTTTGATTTTATATTTTTAATAAAATTTTATTTATTTATTAATAAATTTAATAAATGAAATTAATGAAATTTATAATTTATAATCATGATTTAATAATTTTTTAAAATAAAAATTATTTTTAAAATAAAAAATTATTTAAATAAAGGATGAATCTAATTGCCACGCACCTTATTTATAACAACTGCTTAGTAAATCTAAATATTATTGGGTTGTTACATTCCTAAAATCGGCGATTTTCATTTCATAATTCCGGCCGAAGTTATAATTAATTATAACTTCGGCCGGAATTATGGCATGATCGGCGTCAAAATTTAAAATTTTGATGACCGTCCTGATAGATCTATGGTTATCTTTTTCGGAAATCTCCAGGAGGTATAGATTCTTATCCTATTCTTCCCGTGTCAATTATTGTGTAACTACCTAACGCATGGGTTAGGTTAGGGTTTATCAGGGGTAGGTTATTTATCACCTTGTTTCACACCCTTCGAATATCGAATATCCTATTTTTTTACATGTGGAAACCACATTTGTCACTCAATATTGCAAAGACTTCGTTTTTGATAGATCGATGATTATTTTTTTTGATATATCAAATTTTCATGTGACAAAATAGTTATCTTTTTGATGTATCTATAAATAAATTATTAAAGGCATATCAAAAAAATAACCACTTTTTTCACGCGTATCTATATATCAAAAAAATAACCATAAGTCTATCAAAATGAAACTAAAATCTGTCACATGAATTAAACACGCGTAATCCTTATGATCACCTGTTAAATTATGGACCAATCAAATTCGAAAGGGGACATAGGATAAGAGTCTGTACCCTACGAACAGGATAAAATTCTAAACCGGAGGCATAGGATAAGGGTCTTTCAATTAATTATTTGATGATCGCATGATATTGTTATTCTATAACTCACGTGACAATTCATATATTAATTGCATCACGTTACTCAAAAATGAGTCTAACCATAGATCGATCAACCGATACCTTTGTATCATAGATCTATCAAAAACGATACCTTTGCGTCACGCCTCGTGTAAAGAGACGTGACAAATTTTGACCAATCAGATTCAATTTACATGAAATCATGACTTTTGACAAATAAACTCACACGTGCTAGCATGTGAGCGTAACCTTATTTAGTTACGATCTAGAATATGCAAAAGATGGTAATCTTCGAGAATATCTAAAAATTAGTTTTAATAATATTAATACATTTTATTTACATAATATAAATTATTTATTATTTTTTGTAACATAATATAGAAACATTAATGATTGATGATTATAAACCATAGTTTTAATATATATAAAATATATTAATGCAAAAGTTCGATGTATAAATGTCAGTTTGATAAATTTTTTATGACTAATAAATATCTTTGCAATATTCATGAACACTTTGACAAGACCATTTGCTAATGCTACAGTATTTTGTACAGAATATTGATATTAGGTTTTCTCATATTAGTCTTGAATAAAAAAAAGACTAATATTCATTATCATTTATATTTTTACGATTTATTTTTGATCACATTTAAATAAAGTTTCAAACAAATATGTAGTAAGTTAAAATTCATAAATACAAATTAACAAAAATGAGTATTAATAGTAAAATTATAATAGAATTTTTACAAAACACCACTAAAAATCATTATTTGTAATCTTTATTTCTCATCCTTTTCCGTAAGACAGGTATTATTAGGTATATGATAATAACTTTTTCTAAAGCTTCAATAAGATGCACCCATTGTTGTGCCTTTTTATCCTATTCAATAAAAGGTTTCGTATAATCAATGGAACGAAATAATGGTTAAGTGGATTTGAAATTGAAATTACCTCGATATTATCAAAAAAGTCACTTTCGGATTGGTCAACTTCCGTCATCTTCCATGCTACATTTAGTAGGAAATTATTTACGAGTTCATCTCATATTGAAATAAATTTATTCCTTGTTGGCTTGTGTTGTCCAGTCAAATCAAGGACCCCCAAATACTGTGGGCTTCAGTGGAGAAAAACGATATCCATAAATTTTATAAACAGATTCTCTCGTGAAACCGTTATATAAGATAATACTTACTGAACTTCGGAACCTTTTTTCGGTAAGGAATCACGTAAAGACTCAAAAAATTTTACAATATCAACATAATCTATTTTAAAGGAATCCCAACTGTTAGTAACTGAAACCGTAGGTTTTATGCATGCTGATTTAGGCTCTTCTTCACTTTCAATGTAGGATAGATCTACGTTATCTACAAGACTGTCAAAATAATTAGGATCTTCCATATAACTGTCTTGTAAAGGACTTGGCGAAGTACATTTCTCATTAAGTTCTTCATCTCCATCTTGCATTTTCTGAAAAACTGATGATGATTTCTCTGTAGAAGAGCTCATGTAAGTTTGTCACAAGCCACATGAACATTGACCTCCGAACTGTACAGTTTCGATTTAGTGTTTAACATCTTTTCATTAACCTATAAAAACTAGTTAGTCAACAAAATACGTATTGATAAATATATCAAAGCAAAATTAATTTACCTTCGCATCCCTTTCATCAAAAATCATTGTAACCCTTTTGGACTGGAAAAATTGATCTAACCCATCCAGAAGTCTATTTGCCTTGTTATGGACTTTCTTGCTCATCGAGTTATGAGTACTGATTGAACGGAGATGAAATCTTAATTCCGGTTTAATCTTCTCACAATCCTCGCTCGTAATATCCTTACACTCCTCTGACACACAATCGAAACAGCCAAAAAGGTCACATTTTCCCCATGAAGTCTCATAAAAGTAATTTGTAATTGATTCCGAAACGTTCATTCTATAACAAAAAAAACTTTTTAGTACTAAATAATAAGAATATTTTGATGAGTATCTGGAAAGAGGCTGTCAAGCTGTTGGCACTAAGATTTTTAGGTTCTTAGTGGGGGCTCCGAGGACTTCTTTCCATACATCGAACGAAGGAGTCCGCCCAAGTGGACGAGGTCCAACGAACGTAGGATATTGTTTACGCCAATTTTTGCTAGGTTTAAAAAAAATTAAAAATGGAGTACTCGACCTGTTCGAATCTTCGAATCTTTCAAATCTATAGATTGTTATTCAGAAATCAATAAAAAAGACGCGTTTTGAGGATCACATGTTTTTTATTATTTTGATTTTTTAAAATAAATAATAAAAATTAATAATATGTTCAGTAATGCAGTATATGTTGTTTGGCTACTTTTAAATTTTTTTTTTAATTTACAGATAATTTTATATAAGAAGAAACAAAAATTTATTTGTTAAATTTACTATGTTTTTTTGGATTCCGTTTTGCTAATAAATCTTTTTGCTAATAAATGTTATATTACAAATATCCCAATTTTTTATTAATGAAATTGACCGGTTCTTACATGGATTACGAATTAATAAATATTTAATTTAGATTCAATAAACAAATAGTATATACAGTATCTCAAAGCTATCATAAAAAAAAAATTATATATTTTTTAAATAAAATTAAAAAAGTTTATATGGAAGCATTCTACATTCGTAAAAAATTAAAAAAATTAATAAACTGTGTCAATTATTTAGAACACTTTACCATACCATCAATTTAAATAATAATTCTTTATATAACGATAGTGTTTGTGTTTGCGAAAAAATGATCATAATACGTAATTACGTAATTACATAAATAAAATGATATTGAAATCTAAATAACATTTTTTTATATTACGAAAGTAGTTGTGTTTGCGAAAAATGATCATGGAATGAAATTCTTCAATCTTTACAAATTTTACTATTATTGTCGGAAAAATACCTGAAAGAATAGATAGGTTTTAAAATGGGAAATAAGAAATGATATGGATAAAAAAATTAAACATAATCGAAAATACCAAAATAATGAAAAGGAATAAAGGGATAAACTGTCGGATACCATTGCAAAGACAAATATAATTCTTTTTCAAAGTTTAGATGGTTATAAATTTTGTAAATTGAGACTATTCGCATAAATTTTAAAGTTTGTAGTTAATAAACCTGATGATTTTTTTCCTCAAAATTAGCTAATTCTAAAGCCATTTTTCTAATTCAGAATTTATATTTTTCATTACTATTAATTTTTTAATATGCAGTCGTACTACTGATTTCCCATTTTGATATTAAATGATTTTCTATACATATTACCGACAATAATCATTTCATAGTAAGTTTTTTTCTATTGTATTTTTCCATTTTTGCAAACTTTGTTCACTATACATATATCCAATCAAATTCATTGAAAATTTTCTTTATTTCATGGTTGTTTATAAATTTAAATGCAACAAGTAATCTTTCGGAATCCCAAGACCTATAATTATTCTTTTATCCAATAACTCCATTGCTATGCCTTTCTCATGACGTTATCATAATCTCAATCTAATAATAAATGACAAAGTTTATCCTACATCTTTTCTCCTCCGCCAACAATTTTACATCAACCAACTAATACCAAAACAGTAATAACATCTCCTTTATCACAACAGCAACAACCACAACAATTACAACAATCATAACCACAATCACAACAAATATAATCGAAACGATTACAATCACAACAAATACAATCGAAACGATTACAATCACAACAGTCATAACAACAGTCACAACCAACTTCACAGATTGAACAATCTCGTCGAATGGCTCGATCATATCTTATCGGAAAAAAAGACGAGAGAGTATTAATTTAGGATTTGAAAGAACTTAAAAGAATTATACCAAAATTGCTGATTCAAAATGATGTGATATTACGTGTAATATATATGTAGTGATAAATAAATAATATAATTATTTAAATACTACGAGAATATCTTGTAATTTTTTAATCCCTGTGTTAATTTATTTATTTTTGTGACCCGAGACGTTAATTGATCTTTAAAATTACAAATTTTGAATGGATGCTGTTGGACATTAGAATTCAAAGTATCGACAGTTAATTATTAATAATTTTTAAATTTAAATAATTAATAATACAAAATTTAATTTGTCTCTCCAACGGGTCATGAACTTTATATCAAAAGGTTGTACAAATAAACGAAACAGTAAATTTTCAAAATACTTTTATTAAAACTATAAGCCTGAAAGATTAAAAATTCATCATTGCTTAGATTGTTATGCCTAGTAACTGATGTCATCCCCATCACTTTTTGATCAATCTGAGCAAAAAGTTGCTGGAAGGAAATATAACACACCCCGTAGGTGTCAACCCAGGAGGTGTACCCCATAACTGATATAGACATGAAGAAAACGATATAAAATATGTATGTCTGTTTAAAGAGCGTATAAAATAAAGGATAAAGAAATGATTGAGTGGAAATAAGGCAAATTACTTTTCGAAAAAAAATTAAATCTCTCTCTTGAATATATGAAAGGATACTAAATCTAAATAATATTTTTTTATAACGAAGTGTTTGTGTTATCACATTATTGATATAAAAATAAATCACATGTGTTTTTATAAAATCACAATTTGTTTTCTTATGTGTTTATAGTAATAAATTTTAAAATAGGTGTGCTTATGGTCATTTCAATTCAAATTTTAAATAACCGGGTCATTTATCATAATTCGCCAATTTTTATATTTGTGTGATGGTGGCACTTCGTGCCACCATCTTATTTAAGATTTGCATTGTTGTATGATTGCAGATTATTCTTTGAATGAGCTTTTCGCTGTTTCTTTTTTTTTCTCTTTGATAGGATGATGATTATGTGGGCAAATTATTAAAAGCAAGCCTTGGCATAAGAAAATTTATGCCAATCGAAGGATTTACAAAGAGGTCAATCGAACAGAAATACGTGTAAAAGCGATAGTTAAAGGGATCAGCACTAATCTTGCTTTATTAAATCATGTTGTAGTAATGTTAAATTCGCTTAATACGGCATGATGATTAGTTTTTTAAGTTCATTGGGAAGGTTAATGTTGTAATATTCACTTATCTAACATACATTGTATATGAATCGGAAATGATCGTTGCTGCATATAAAAGATTTTATTTTAATAAGTAAATGTCAACAACTCGTCGTCTAGATTAAATTAGTAATAGTTTATTTTAGAGTAGGTAGTTAGAACACAAATTGTAAATTTAACAATTGTTTTATTTAATAAAGTGTCTAACAAGACTCCGATGGTTAAAAAAAAAAAAATAAGTAAATGTCAAAAAATGGTACTAAGTAATCTTAAAGTTAAGAATAAGTTACATATCATATAAATTGAACAGACTTATATCACCAAAATTGAGAGAACAGTTAGAAGTTAAATTTACGAACGAAAAATTTTAAAAAGACAATTATTCACTCAATTTTGATGTGATATGCAATTCATTATTATATTTAAGATCACTTACAAATAAAGAGTTTCATATGTAGCAACAATCAACAATTTTATAATTATAACTATTATATACAGTATAACATAATATATAAAATCGTCGATCGTTACCACATATAAACTTCTTTATTTTAAGTGAATATTAAAATTTATCCCTGGTGATCTGGAGGAATTATGGAAGACTGGGAGAGTATTGGGAGAACTATGGTTCGAAAAGCGCAGCATACCAAATGGTGGTGTAGTCGACTGAATCATTACTATAAGTATTGCCTAGCTAGGAGTCCTTTTGCAGAAGTACTGCAGGCAATGTCAGTGAGATTGATGACCAGGACTTGCTAATAATAATCACGGATTGATCAATGATGATTATTTATTTATTTATTTTTTATTTACTATTTTGTCATCTAAGCATTAACTATATTTGTAACATAAACCTTTTATAAATAATTTACAATATGATTTTTTTCCCAAGTTCTGGAAATTTTATCATTATGACAGAGTGAATTTTTTTATTATTGGCTCGAATTTCTAATTTAATCGAATAATTTGAATTTATTAAGCAGAATACAAATTTGTATTTCAATTTTGGAGTAATTATAAATAGGGACAAATTTCATAATTAAAAAATAATTATAACCTCTAAAAAATAATAATCTCCAATAAAAACAAAATAATAATCTCTAATAAAAACAATAATGTTCGTTCATAAATTACAAATTTTTGGAGTTCTATTAATTTTATTATCCATAATCAACACTTCTACAACATTCGTTATTAAGAATACGGATGACTCTGCGAATGCTGTTACAGATGATTCTCCTAGTTATCCTATACATTCTGTAGATAATCTTTACCGCGGAGACCTTATTGCAATGGATTTTATCTGCATCTATTGGGTCGATGGTGACCATACACCACGCTGGAAAGAATGCAAATATTCTGATGATTTTGATGGTAAAGACGAAGTGCCGACGTCGTACACATCTCCATGGTGGGCAGCAGGATACCGCTTCGGAGCATATGATGAATATTGGGGTGAATATTTCAATACTGACGATGTAATGTGGTATAATGACAATCAAAGTCAAAAATATTGTAATGATCTTCACTTCCATATTAAGCCTATTTATTTGAAATTGAGTTATGATTATTCAATATCTAACGACAAATGTTATTGGGAATAAAATCCGAAACTAGCCTTAAAATAACCAATTTAATTTATAATTAATATCATCTATTTGATATTAAAATTTTTTTTTTTAAAAAATTAATTTGTTATATTATATATTTAGTATAGTTAATTTTATTTTTAATATAATCGCCAGTCTACAACGCTTTTTTCAGACTGACTTAAGTAATACATCATATACATTAATATTTTATATAAACAACTTAATAAATTTTTACCACGGCCGATCTTTTTTCAATAGCTTCATAAAATAAAATAAATATTTGAAATAAATTATAATTAAATTTTTTGAATTAGGATTTTTTTTATTGATATTTTCATGGTTGACATTTTCCAGGCAATTTGTAACTTTATCAATTATTTATTGCATTGTTTATTTAAATTCGTTATTTTTGAAAATGTAAATTTAACATTTTTACTTTCATATTGCATATTTATATAATAAGTTTTGAGTTTTGAAGTCAATATTAGGCGTGGCAGCTTATAAATCTTCTGTTTATGTTTGCAAGTGGCGCGTTGATTTTAGATACATATATAAATTTGTTACGGTGGCGAAAATATTTTTTATATATTTTATTTATATTATTTTATTAACGAAATATTCTAATTTTATGGAATCTTAATAAAATATTATAAATAATCCGTGGATGAAATATTGATCCCATGATTCTAAGACAAACATACACGTAAAGATTTTTTGCTTACTTCATATATTCAGAAATGTCTTTTTTTTTTACAATATTAAAAAAAAATAATAATTATTAAAAATAATATTAATTAAATAAAATAATAATAATAATAAATACAATAAGGGCATATACTGTCACATGAATATTATGGAATTATCAACATCGATGATCGGAAAAATAAAATCAGGTAAAAAAAAATTTTTTTTTTCTATAACAAAAAATGTACATGCATGGAAAAAAATAATATATAGGTGAAGATAAAGACTAAAAAAAAAATTGTATGTAAAGAATGATTAATTGATGAAAAATAAAATTGACTGTCTGTTTAAAGAACGTATAAAATAAAGGATTGAATGGAAATAAGGTAAACACATTATTAGAATAGTAATTTCCCGAAACAACTAAAACCATTTTCATTTACTAAAATCCTTAATATCATATAGTGTAAATTTGTTCCTCTCTATTATTTTATATATCTATCATTTTATATAGAAATTATTAAAAAGAATTTATTAAAAAAATTTTTAATAAAAAATTTATTAAATATTTACTAAAGATAAAAGAAATAAACGACATAATAATTTAAGTTTTAATTAATAATTATTGTTACTTGGATTAAAAGTAACAATTTATTGACTGTCTGGACTTATCGCTATGTAACATGAATCTTATTCTGTGAAACTCGGTATGTAAATTTCTAAAATAATTCATAATATTAATTGTACCCATAGATCTAAACAAATGCAAAAAAAAAGGTGCTCCTATCGTCAAGAAAGCTATTTTAACAAGCATGTGGAAATTCCAGATTCAATTGAGAACATGCTGGAAAGAAATAGTAGATAGGTTTTTAAAAATGGAAAAAAGAAAATGGTGATAAAAAAAAATTAAATATAATCGAAAATAATACCAAAATAAACGAAAAGAGAAAAAAAAGTAAAGCTATTAGATATCAGTAGCAAAGACATTAGTATAACACTTCGATCTAAATTTGAAAGGAATAAAAATTTCTTATTTAAAAATCGTATTATTCAGCTATCAAAATTTAGACGTCAGTGGGAATCGATTTCCTTTCTTTTTATATAACTTTATATTATATTTCTATCATTTATAAATAGAGAGACCCGTTAGTCGTTAAAAAAATGAAATAATATAAAATTTTCAGGTACTTTCTTATTGTTTATTTAGATAATAAGTTTGAGTAAGAAAATAAATCATTAATTTAATGAGAGTTTACTCTCTGTTTCATGTGTTATGGAATTTTTCCATAAGTGATTCGTGGCTTGACCTATAAGGATAGCATTAAATTCTTATATTCTCTTGCAATCCTTTGCAACGGAAAAACTAAGTATCTTATAGGCATGGCATATGTTATGGGCTTCTTAGAATTGAAAAATTTTAATATTTCATCAATTTCTAGAAATAGTATCTAATTTTAAAGTCATTTTATATTTTATTTATAGATTTTTTTGTTTGTTTGTTAACGAAGTGTACCTTATGGCTCTTTGTTTATTGATGTAATTATTTTTTATTAGTGCAGTGTAAATATATCCTGTAACCATATATTATTTTATATACCTCATCTATTGATATTTATTAAATTACCAAATATATTTTTCAAACCTATGAAAAATAAGTGAATGAATTATTTTTTGCATTATTACGTACACTATTTTAACCCGACAAAAATACAACATAAATTAATAGATCTTTCAATCTAATTTGCCAGAATTTTAATTGGATCTTTTTTTTTAAAAAAGTTATTAGTTTTTAAAAATTTTATAACTTACTAATGGCTTTATAATAAAATAAAATTGAAATATATTATTCATTGGAGTTGTTCTGTTTGGTTTTTGAAAATTCATCAGCTTCTCTAATTTTAATTGTAATTTCTTTATTATTATTTCTATATTTATCATATTCCGCATAGTATTTACCCAACTCTTTAATTCTTTAAAAGTTGGTCGATGCGCAATTTGAGCATCCCAACATCGCAATGGAATTTTTAGTCGACACGTCGTGATACGGAGGAAGCCCTGTGATCATTTCATAAGAAACAAATGCAAATGAATAAACATCAGCAGCCTTTGTAATTCTAATACTTTGAGCTATATAGGGTAATACAGAAACAAAGAAAGTTGAGATTTAAAGAAAGCTCACAGGTGGCACTTTGAAATGTGTTTGTTGGAACTAGAAACAATCTTGACTATTAATAACATTATTCTCAATTATTTTTGAAATTTCACGCACACAAATATGGCTATGATAAATAAATTTAATTGTGATCATTTTTTGCACATTCGTTATATAAAAATATTTTATTGAGATTTATTTTTATTTCAATATTAGTTTTGTTCAAAGGATCAGTCGTCTTTTTCATTTTTACTGGGTCCCAATTGGTAATCGCCAAAAATAAAATACTGCGGAAATTCTTAAAAGGATTCGCCCAAAATGGAAATTCGCCTAAAGCAGATGTAATTTATCCTTTTTGGAAATCACATGAGCTGATAAAGATCGATGCTTAGATTCCTAACATTACAAATGTCTTCTCTTAAACAAAATAAATTAAAAAAAAAAAATGACTTATGATATGAATGCTGAATGATATAAAATAAATAATACAAATAATTTATTAAAAAATTAATGACAAAAAGTCCACTACCAATGGTAATAAGCCTATATGAATGAAATAATTACCATGACGAAATGAAAGAAGACGGGAAAAGAGAATAAATCATACTGCTTATTTGTTTCCTCTTCAATAATATGTATCTCATATGTTTATGTATTGATATGACTTATTATTTGCAATAATTTAATTTATGACATATGTCTTTTATGATTCATATGATATAGTTACGTGAGTAAAATCTGCACCTATAAATGCTCCTTAATGTTAAGACGAATGGATATGATGAATGATATAAGGAATTTAAATAAGGAACAAATATAATCTTTTCCCTAGATAAATTGTAATCGTTTCAAAAACAATTTCGATAAATGGACAATTGGAATAGATAAATTAATAATTGAATTATAAATATGATTTATTTTTTAATTTTTGTAACTAGTTAATTCTAATAAAATTATAAGATCGTGATCCTTATAAAAATATATAACCAATTTTTATATAAAATACAGTGCTTTATATCTTAACTCAAATGTTTCAATGTTTCAATTTTTGTTTCAGATTTTAGATAATAAATTTTGCGCGCATTGTACAATTCGATTTGTATTTTTTTTACTGTATAGCAAGCTAATCATTCGGTGACATGTACATGTAAAAATATAGGTTACATTAAACATACATTGTTAAAAGAAAGTAAAATTATTGAGTAACTTTGATAAAAAATTATGCCAGTAGACTCCTCAATTTTTCAAATCTTTCAAAACATAAAATATTGAAAAACAACTTGAAGAATTAACAGAATCTTTTTATTCATATCAAATCAGTACTAGTAATTAATTATATTTTACTTTATAATAATTTTTCATTTCGTATTATTTAATTTGTTTTGTTTATTTTTTTTTTTAAATTAGGTGTTGATGTCTAATTTACTCATTAAATTATAAAGCATTATTTATTAATTTTTTTTATATTATAAAATTAAAATCTTAACACAAAGTATAAAGTATGAAATTATTATATGATTCAAATAACTTAGATCTCTATTTAATAAAATTTTTTTTTAATTACAAACTAAGTTTTTTTATATATCATAAATTTTAAGTGCATTTTAATAAATTTTATATAAAATTTTTTTAGATTTAGTCAACCAATTAAGCTATTTAAATTTATTTTAATTATTTTAAAAAACAATATTGGCAATCTTTCCTTCTCCCAAATAGGAAAAAACTGCATTCTTTTTCAAAAAGAGAATAAAGAATACGTTAGACATACATCATAGTTTATTATAAGATAATAAATTTATTTAGGCTGGTTTATATATTCTAAATTCATCCCATATGCAAAAAAATTTTATTCCTTCTCATTATATCATAATATTGACTCGCTTCCATCAATATCAAATAAATTATTTTAAAACGTAGATTATTTATCTCATATCACTAGTCGAAATATATCACTAGTCGAAATGAGGCCTTTCGGCAATCATAAAATTCGACCAACTTTCGGCTAATTGCCAAAAAAATTTGACCTAAATTCGGCTATCAATAAAATTCAACCAAAATTCGGAAATTCAAAATTTTGGATGTTCGGATGATAAGCTTGAGTAATTTAATGAGACTTTACTCTCTGTGCTATTTTATATAGAATTTGTTGTACAAAATATATAATTTTCTACTATTA